AGGTGCCTTACTAGTAGTAACAAGAAGCTACTAGTAACAAGTGCATCACTAGTAGTAACAGGTGCCTTACTAGTAGTAACATGAAACGCACGAGAGAGAGAGAGAGAGAGAGACGACACAGTCGTAGAACATCTCATTCGGCTAGACGCAGGTGTCCCAGGCTGCTCAGCTTGAAGCTGATTTGTCGGAGGTGGTGGAGAGACTCCGCCAAGAGCAAGGGGCCCCTGAGGACAGAAGGTAGGACAAAGGTGGATAAACGCAACATGCGAGAGCAATGCTGCAACTCAAGCCAGTTGTTGCAGACATGATTCCTGGAAAGGTGTTTAGTTGGACACGCGAGGGGTGAATCAGTAGTAACAAGAAGCTACTAGTAGCTATGTGCTAATGCCCTTGTTACTAGTAGCGATGCACTTGTCACTAGTAGTAATGCCCTTGTTACTAGTAGCGATGCACTTGTTACTAGTAGCGATGCACTTGATGCACTTGGTATTAGTATTTGGAATGTCAAACTCAGATTTGTGCGCGGTGGCGATTTGAGGTCAGCAAAGATATGGCCAAAGATTAGCTCCTATGAGGCTAACATTGCAGAACTCAGCACAAATATGCAGCTTGGCCGTGCTAGGCGCGGCATTTTCCAATTTTAGAGCCCTCCTTGAAACCTTTTCTTGCCCGCCATGCGTGACAAGTAAGGGTTGTGGACATATGAACGCACAACACTTAAGTTTTTCTCAAAGCTGGCCACTTCTTGTCTTATGTGATGCTGCTCCAGAGATGCTGAGATGCTGAGGCCCCTCCACACAAACATGGACAGTAGCTGTAGTCGCCCCTATTGTTCAAGTCCCGACCTGTCACCTGTCACTGTTTTCGGCCGTGAGTCTTAGGTCAGAGACCCAGGAGAAACTTCAAGTAGTACTACACACGCCAACCAGAGAAGCCGACAACCTTCGAACGCACTTGAAGGGGCAGATCAATCAGGCCGTGGGACATAGTGGAAATGCGTGGGAAGCTACCTGGCGCTGCTGTCGCTTTGTTTGAGTTCTGGTTTGAGGGAAACGGGGTATGGCAAGACATGATCTGACCATCTCTCTAACTTCATGTTGACGACGTTTGGAGTGACATATTTTCAGGCCCAGGCTGTTTTGACAGTAAAGAGCCAGCAGTTGCAGTTGCAAGCGGCATTCATTAGTTCTGCACGGCTGCTGCAACTCTTTTAGCATGGTTTGCTTGTCGTGGAGGTGAAGCGCATGTTGGCGCAGCTGGGCCGTCTCCGGGACATTCAACGTGTCAATGCGCAGGACCGACTCCAATTGGTAGGGCCTGTAAACCACTTGTTTCATCTATTATAATTCTCTCTGGATTATCCCGATAGTGGCGTGACGCGGCTGTGACCTTCCAACCACTCCATTCAAGGAGATTGGAATGGTAGAGCGGGAGCGCGCCAAGTTGAACAGATATTGCCGTGTGCGATGCCTGTTTGCAGTGTGGTGGTGTTTTTCCTTTTTTTTTGGGGGGGGGGTGCCGGCCTCAGAATGGCAGAAGCAGCAATGTACGTTTGGTTTGGACTTCGTTTTGTGCAGCTGGGTGCCTGAGGAGAATTGATCGAAGGCGGTGACAAGAAGAAGTTGGAAAGCAAGATCACAATGCTCCAAGAAGACACCGACAGGCACTCTTGGGAGAGATTTCTGGTGTTGAGGCTGCTGAGTCCCTGCAGATCTTGCATTGTTTGTGGCTCAAGTGGGCAGTTTTGCAAGCATGAGGTACTCGGGCATGCCCCTGCAGACATTTAGCATTACTGTACGTGATTGTTCAAGAAGAGATGGATGAGCTGCGGGTCAGGCGGCGGCTTTATCCTAGCGCCAGCTTGGTAACACTGTTGCATAGAAGGAGGACGTGTTGCCGCAGTCAGCACAATGGGTGCAACCAACCAAAACCCAAACTCAATGTATCGCTTGGCTTGTGCAGAGAGAGGCTGAACCTCTTGCCTCCATTTCCTGAGCCATGTCAGCCAAGAAGCCCAGAACCTGCAAGCAGCCACCTGCGTCCTCGGATTCGGATGAATGCTGGCGTTCGTGGGCTGAGACCTGGGCATGTTGGGATCCCAATCCTTCAACAAAGGAAGAGCTCCTGCGTACCTTGGAACGGATATGAAATGGTATGAACATATATGAACAAACCCAGGCATATTTAAATCTTTGGTTTTGACTCTGACTGACCACCACCAGTTTTTTCTACATGTTTGCGTGCATACTCGTAGGGCTATATATATATATACTAGATATATATATATTATATATATATATATTATCTGTTTATTTGATATGTTTAGATGGTCCAGGAGTGGTGAAGAACGGAGAAATACAGAGGATTCGAAAGCTACTTGGGAACCGCTTGGAATTCGGCACTGCTGGACTACGGGGGCCCATGGGTATAGGCAGTTCTTGCATGAATGATCTAGTGGTCTTGCAGAGCACGCAGGGTGTGTGTGCATACCTCGAGTCTGTCTTTGGGGCGGAGGCCAAGCGCCGTGGCGTTTGTGTGGGTTTTGATCATCGTGCTGGAGCAGGATGCTCTTCAAAAAGCTTTGCAACGCAGGTGTCCAAGGTCTTCCTAAGCAGAGGTTTCACGGTGTGGCTCTTCAGGGATTTGGTTGCGACACCCTTTGTCCCCTGGTGCATAGAGCAGCGTGGCTGCTGCGCGGGTATTATGATCACCGCCTCCCATAATCCAGCTGCAGACAACGGATACAAGCTCTATTGGAGCAATGGGGCACAAATCATACCTCCACATGACGCAAAGGTTGCCGCTTTGATCGATGACAACTTGGAACCTTGGACTGAGATGCAACAAACCGAAGTAACTACAAATCCTTTGTGCAAAGACCCCGGGGTGGAAGGAGTGATTGCTAGTTACTTCGAGCGCTTGAAGTCTCTCAAATGCTTGAAGTCTCTCAACGTAGAAGTGCTCCCTGTGGTCTATACTGCCATGCATGGTGTTGGATGCCCTTTCGTGCAGCAAGCCTTCGATGCATTCGGGCATGGACGGGAATCGCTACGCTTAGTTGGTGCGCAGTGTGAGCCTGACCCGAGTTTCCCAACTGTGGCTTTCCCCAACCCCGAAGAAGGCAAGGGGGCTTTGCAGCTGGCTTTTCAAGAGGCAGATTCCGCCAAGTGCAACCTGGTCATTGCAAATGACCCAGATGCTGACCGCCTGGCTGTGGCAGAGCGGAATTGCGGTGAATGGCATGTCTTCAGTGGCAATGAGCTGGGGGCCTTGCTGGGTCATTGGGCCTTCCGTTGTTGGCAGCTTAGGAATGACAAGAATCCGAAGGCGGACGTATCGAGAGTTTGTATGGTCGCCTCGACAGTGTCCTCGAAGTTCCTCAAGCACCTTGCTGCCAAGGAAGGCTTTCGTTTTGTGGAGACTCTGACGGGCTTCAAGTGGATGGGTTCACGTTCGGCTGAACTTCGAAACGAAGGCTTCGAAGTGATCTTTTCCTATGAAGAGGCCATTGGCTTCTGCGTGGGTGATATGGTGAAGGACAAAGATGGTGTAGCAGCCGCGGCGGTTTTTGTTGAGATGGCGAAAGCTTTGCGCAATGAGGGCACTACATGTTTCCAGCACTTGCACAAACTCTATTTGGAGCACCTGGGCACAGTATATTTCTTAATGTTGTAATTGTAACCCAATTCCAGTCAATTCTGCAGTTTGAGGTGTGATGGTTCCTTAGTTGTTCGAGGCTTTTCTTCTCGATGGTGCTTTGCCCAGGTATGGGAGGCCACTATTGCTGCAAAGTTATGTGAAGTCTCCTGATCCATCTGTGACCAGAAAACTGTTTGAGGCGCAAAGGGGAGGCGACCAGAAGTCTTATCCAAAGTGCTTGGGAGGTTTTGTGGTGACTGGCGTTCGGGACCTGACAGTTGGCTATGATAGCCGCACACCAGATGGTGTGCCAGAGCTTCCTCTAAACTTGGGAGGGGAGATGATCACCTACTACTTTGATGCAGTGGAAGCAGACGTTACTTTGCGCTCATCCGGCACAGAGCCCAAAATCAAGTTCTATTCCGAGATGCGCAGTGATAAGGGAGATGTCTCAGAGCTTCGTAAATTGGTCCGCGCGGTTGTGTGCACCTTGCTGGATCCTTTTGCACATGGCTTGGAGGTGAGACCTGAAGACCAGGAGCTTCTCACCAAGCAAGACCAGGGCTAGACCAGCTTCGTCGATAAGCGGCAAAGCGCTCGTAGAACCAGTAGGTCTCGTCGATTCGTGCTGACGTTTGGTCGGCCAAAAGGCGCTTTAGAACCGAGCGATCGGACGCTACTAGGAGCAAAGGGCATCGCTACTAGGAGCAAGGACGCTACTAGGGGCTCCTGGCCTTACTACTAGGAGCACGGACGCTAGTAGGCCAAAGGTTACACCACTTTCGAGTCAGCTGTCATGACATTCATGCATTTGAGTTGCCGGAGGTTGCGGAAGGCCATCAAAGAGCTCGAGTCTGGGCTAAGCCCTTTGACAGAGGAGGCTGGTTGCCCCCTGAAAATGAAGTGCACAACGTTGGTTTGAATTGGTTCGAACTTGGTGCCTTTGTACAGAATGGTGATGGTAAATTTGTGCCAGTGATTGATCACATTTTGTCTCTGCTTTCCCAGGCAGGCGCCATCACTGACAAGCTGCGATCAATGCCCTTTGCTTTCACCACAGAGACCGGGAAGCCACTGGACTGAAGAGGCCGTTAAAACACAAGGGTCTTGACACTAAGCACAGAGCTGAGCCCGACAGAGCAGAGTTGGAGAACCTTCTGCCAAGCAGAAGAAGTACCTTTGGGTTGTCGAGGGGAGGTGGCCCCAATAGATCAGGAAAGAATGTTGACTCAATTCTTTCTGTTTGCCAGCCGAGGCTTAGAGAGCAACTGATCGCAAATATTCATCAAGCATCTTGCATGAACTGATCGGACTGGGAAATGGCCTGGCATTCCAAGGGCCACATGCCAGGCCCAAGCTGTTCCCACACACTTGAAGACCGTGCCTCACTTGGATGTCCTAGGCCTACGAGGGTCACACATGCACTCCTCGTTGAAAGACCGCTGCCAATTTAGAGAACCATGAAAACGCCTCCTATAATCTTGTAGTTTGTGTGAGAAGAAGCTTGGATGGCAGTCAGTTTGCTCTGCTTTACTTGATGTTTCCCGTGATCTATTGAGGAATCGCAGTGGAAGGAACGGCTCGCAGTTGCTTGCCAGCAGCTTTGTTTTCGCACCTGAGTTATGCACTGCATTTGTGCACTTTCTGTCAAAGCTGCTTAAGGTGAAAGTACATTTTTCCTTGACAACAATATTCTATGACTTTCTGGCTTGCTAACATGTTTGTTGGTGTTTGGCAGGTTCATCAAGGCCGGCTACTATTTATTGATTTCTTTGTCAGGTTCTGCGCGGCGAGAAGCTCCAGAACATCCGCTTCATTGCAATGCTGATGAAAGCGCTGAGAGACACTTGAGGTGTAGGACTTGGAAGCACCTGGTGCGTCAGCACCTTTGCCATCACGCCGTGAGATTTGCATTGGAGCTCGGCAGGCCTTTCTGGAGCACATCTTCAGCCTGAATCTTGTGACGCACAGAACAAATCTGCAGCCCTGTGGCGTCCGCGGCCGCAGCGATGAATTTTGCATTTCGTCCCAGATATACGCCCTTAGGCGTTGCTCTCATTGTGGCCTGGGACTGGCGAGCTTAAGTAAAGAACGTACTGTAAAACACAAGAATCTGAACTGTTTTGGGAACCCAGAGCTCATGCAGAGCATGTGCAGCATATGACCTTCCTTTTTTGCTCGGAAAATCTGTGCACGCCAGCCCCTCATCCGCTCCCGTTTCCGAGCAGGCGCTCGTCCGCTGATTTTCAGGGCAGGTGATTTGTGCTCTTGACCTGCAGCGCTCGTCCTATGTTTCAGAGGGGGTGCGCGGCGCAAATAGCTTTGAAGTTTGATTGAGGCACTTCGATTGTTCATGTCGTGGTTGAGCACAGTTCATAGGTACAAGTAGAGCTGTGCCCCGTTCATAGTTATGCTTCAGCATATTAATTAGGCGCTCTTGCAGGTAGGGGTCAGGTTCGGTAAATAGAGTCAACAGTTTTTAATTCGGGTTCCGAATGGCACGACAGAATATGAATGAACGAGTGGAATGCTTGCTGTTGGCCCTTTGGTCTGCAATTGATGCCCAAGCTTGGTCGCCTCACTCTCAAAAAGCACGCTACTCTATGAAGCAACACGCCGTCATAGAATTGACGTTTAGCACCACCTGCCTTGTCGGGTTGTGTGGCCGTGGAACAAAACAAGGGCAATCTTTGCAGTGGGCACACCCTAAAGCAGCGGAGCACCCCCCCAATAGCAGCAGATGGAACTGCTTCGTTAAGGGTAGCCAAGAGTGCCTTTGCAGCTGTGGCAATGGCAATGGATTCTTTGAACCTAGAGGCCGGGGCTGCAAACCTTTGTCATAAGGGGTCGAGCGTGTCAGTAGAAAGTATGCCTGGCAGCGAGTTGCGCAGGTCACAGAACAGCTAAGCATAGTGCCCGACCGTCTCATGCAGAAATTGATTTTGATGATCAAATATGATTCATAGAACCAATGCATTGTTTGGACATTGAATGTGCCCAAGGCGCTCCTATCATCGCAGGTGATTGAGGAGCTGGCGAGTTGAAGCCTGATATGATGACATGATAGCAGAACTGCCACTGGCCACCCTTCAACTTTTCAACAAGCTCGCATCTTGATGGTTTACCTTGTTGGATCTGATTGTGTTTCAGAAGTCTTTTCCATGCACCGCTGGAAGGACAGTTCAGTCTATTTATATATATATATACACCCTTTGGGCAAACATTCAATTCTAGCCTGTGTAGAATCAGAAAGCGCGCAGACAAAGGTCAAGCCTTGGGGCTGGATCAAGGCGGTCCAGGCTTGGGAAGCAAATAGGTTCTGGGCACCACCGGCACCACCTAGGCGGAGCCGAATTTCAATGGAACACCAAGTATAAAACACCATATAATATAGACACCGTATACAGTAGAATTAGCAAAAGCTAATACTTTAGGCGCCAACTGGTGTTGAGATATGTGACTTTTGCAGGTATTGCGTGCCGTCTATACGCCCCCGTTCAGTAGATGGTGGACGAGGAAACTGTGTGTTGGTTAAAAGGGCTAAATGTTTTTTGCAACACGAAATCTGCACTTCATCTCCAACACCAGCACCTGCCACGAAATCACATTTTAAGGTGAACCCCCTGCGGCAAAACACCTTCTCCACCAACCAACCAACCAACCAACCAACCAACCCATGCAAGCGCATTCAGCCAAAGCCACAACAAACAACCAACAAGAACAGGAACCAAAACAAGCGACGAAGCAACAAACTAAGCAACGTGTTGAAATAGTCCGGCCGGCGCAGTCGCGCAGTCTCTTTGTTTTCTTTGCATTCAACATGCACTTGTTTTACGTGGCTGTGGTCTGCTGCTGGGGGGGG